GCGTGTCTGACCGCCTTTAACTTCACAAGGGGGAAGGAGAATCAAGATCAACAGCCCAAGGCTGATTCCTATGAGGCAGGGGTCAGACATGCCTCCCCTCTCCACCATCTTTACCAATTCTGACACCAACCATCCCTCCCACAGCATTCTCTACTTCTCTGCTGGGTTAGATAATTCATTGCAATGGCCACATAGAATTTACAGACCATACTCATAATTATGGGATTTATTAGAGAAGTAACAGGTTGCAGTTCAGGCTCAGGAACACTCAAGGATACAGTTCTTCCATCAGGATAGCCTCTTCCGAGCCATGCTCGCAGGCACACCTCTCCCTGTCCCTAGACCTCTGCCCAAAAGCACTCAGCTTTCTCCCTTCATGGGCCAGGAAGCCCACTGTGCTATTTCCTGCTGCTGGCTCTCTCCATCCAGGTTTTTCCAGTTGGGTCTTGCTGCCTTCAGTGTCACATATCTCTCTGTCTGTCTGTCTGTCTGTCTGTCTGTCTCCTGGGTCCAGGAGCTTCTTAGCGCACGGATCCCAGATCCCAAGGATGTGCTGGCTCCTGGCTGTTCTTCCTTGGTGGTAGTGGAATATTCGCTCTCCTGCCTCTGGGGTGGCTCATTTTAAGGCCAGCGGGATGGTAAAACTGACCAATCCCTTTGTTGGGCCACAACTACCCTGTCACACAGTCCCGCCCGATTACCTGGCTGGGCGTTACAAGACCATGGCTAGAAAGGCCACACAAAAGTAATCAATCACACCACACATGGTTTATTTGACTAGTCCCCTGTTAACAGATATTTCAATGAATTCCAGTCTTCTACTAATACCAACAGTGCTAAAATAAATAGCCTTGTGCATATCATTTCATACAGAGTCAGCCTTCCATATCTGCGGGTTCTGCATCTGCAGATTTAACCAACTGCAGATCAAAAATATTCAGGAAAAAAACGTTTCCAAAAAGCAAAACTTGATTTTGTTGTGTGCTGAGCACTGTGCTGAATCCACGTGATGAAGTGACACGCAGGCATACACTGCTGTAACCTCCCACCATTTCAGCATTGTTAACCTAGCGTCTCCTTCATTCGCTACTTGTGTGCACCCTTCGTTTCTGTGAAAAAATGACTCCTAAAAAGCAATTAAGTGGTCAAAGCAATCCCTCAAAGGCTAGTGTAAGGGGGTTGAGGAGAGTGAGAAGAAGGAGTTTAAGGCTAGTAAGGGATGGCTTACTAAGAGGCTGACCAAGAGGGAGTCACTCGAACAGAACAAGGGGATACTGTGTGGTTTAAAATCAGGAAAGGTGTATGTCAGGGTTGCATCCTTTCACCATACTTATTCAATCTGTATATCAGTAAATAATCTGAGAAGCTGGACTGTATGAAGAAGAACAGGGCATCAGGACTGAAGGAAGACTCATTAGAACACGCTGTGATATGCAGATAACACAATCTTGCTTGCTGAAAGTGAAGGGGACTTGAAGCATTTATTGATGTAGATCAAAGACTACAGCCTTCAGCATGGATTACACCTCAACGTAAAGAACAAAAATCCTCACAACTGGACCAATAAGCAACATCATAATAAACTGAGAAAATATTGAAGTTGTCAAGGATTTCATTTTGCTTGGATTCACAGTCAATGCCTATGGAAGCAGCAGTCAAGAAATCAAACTATGTATTACATTGGGCAAATCTGCGGCAAAAGACGTCTTTAAAGTGTTAAAAAGCAAAGTCACTTTGAGGACTAAGGTGCACCTGACCCAAGCCACAGTATTTTTAATTGCCTTATATGTATGAGAAGGCTGGACGATGAATAAGGAAGACCGGAGAAGAATTGATGCATTGAATTATGGTGTTAGTGAAGAATACTGAATAAACCACGGACTGCCAGAAGAACAAACAAATCTGTTTTGGAAGAAGTATAGCCAGAATGCTCCTTAGAAGTGAGGATGGCGAGACTTCATCTGATATTTCTCTTTTAATCTATAGGTTTTCTAAACTGTTTTATTATAATAATACATGCATATTGTGAAAAAGTATTCAAATAACAAGTTGTGGTTTTAATTCTTCTGGAAGCAGACTTTATAACTATAAATAATATATTTAGTCAAAGTATCACCTCATAGGTTACTTGTTGCAGGGATCTCGTAATTATTATCTAAAGCTAGTGGTCAATCTTAGTCACTTCTTAGTCATTTCTTGTTAAATTTATTCCAAGTATTTAATCTTTGTTGCTGTCATAAATGGAATTTTTAATATCATTATGTCATCTGTTTGTTGTGTCTATGAAGGCTATTGATTATCATATGTTAATTTTATGTCTTCCATATTTAATAAATTATTTTATTGTTTGAGTTTATCATTGACTCTATGAGGTTTTCCAGGCATACTGTAAAATCATCTGCAAACAGAAAGTTTTATTTTTCTTAAAACTATTCTTCTTGCTCTAATTGATTTCTCTAGAGCAGTGTTACACTGTAGTTAAAATAGTAGGCATCCTCACTTTGTTCTCAATCTCAATGGAAATACATCTGTTGTTTCCCATGAAATAAGATACTGGATTTAAGACCATAGGGGTGTGTGTGTGTGTGTGTATAAATATTATCACATTAGGAAAGTATCCCTCAGTTTCTATTTTCATATGTTTTTTTTTTTTCTAAATCATTAATTGGTGTTGAAATTTGTGAAAGGCTTTTTTTTGTTATTTATGGAAAAATCATATAATTTTCTCTTTAAATTTATTAACATGGTGTATGATATTGAACCAGCCTTGCATCTTGGAATCAATCCCACTTCATCATGGTGTATCATTTTCTTAATATATTGTTCGACTCCATTTGAAAGGGGCTGCGTGGAAATTTCACATTTACTGTTTATTGCCAGCAATACAGGCCTAGCTTCCTAGCTATTGTGGTATTGTTAATGCCTAGTTTGCATAGTTCACTTTTGCATGCTTCTGTGATTTTGATTTGTTTTCCTCCTATCCTCCCTTTTGCTTTCCCATGATTTTAAAGTCTAACTAAGTTTCTTCTTGGAGGGTGGCAGAACAAATTGATAACCCTCAAGGACTAGGATTAACTCATCTGCGACATGACAATTGTAACTAATGGTGCCAGATGACCTTCAAGGATTGCCAGTAAGAAGTTAGATCATCTGGGGAGTGCAGAATGTAACCACTGAAAAAGAAACTATAATCTTGTCCATATAAAAACTTTCAGCCAGTCTCCAGTGGGGAGACAGATCTTTTGGAGGAGCTCATTCCCCTCTGTCTCCTGTATATCGATATACAATAAAACACTTTTGCTGCTCACCTCACCCGTCTCAGTATTGGCTTCTGTGACGGGCGGCTCTGACTTGCCACTGCTGTAACAAATTTACTAATATTTTATGTATAATTTTGCATCAAATTTCATAAGCGATACTGGTTTATAGTTTTCTTTGTACTGTCTTTATCTGGTTTAGTATCAGTGTTATGTTTGCTTTATAAAAGGAGTTAGAAAGTTTGCCTTCCTTTTCAATGCTCTGGAAAAGACTATTCAAGTATTTGAGGGTTTAGTAGAATTTACCTATGAAACCATCTGTACCTGGTGCTTTTGGAGGAGGTAGTTTCTTAATAACTTTCTTTATTTACTACATAGGTATAGGTTTTTTCATTTTTCTAACACTGAAGGAGTCAATTTTGGTAATTTGTGCTTTTCCTAGGAAATTATCCATTTCCTTGGGTTTTCAAATTTATTTGCATAGAGTTCTGTAAAGGGATTGCTTATGGTTTGTAATGTCTTCTGCTTCAATGGTTATTTCCTTCCTGTCATCTTTATTTTGTATATTTGTGCTTTCTCCTTTTTTTTTTTTTTTTTGTATCAAGTTGGCTAGTGCTTGTCTATTTCTTAATCTAAAAAAGAAAGAAAAGCAAAAACAAAAATAAAACAAGAAAACAGGATTTTTCATTGGCAATCATCAAAATTAAAAACTTTTGTGCTTCAAAGGATACCATCAAGAAAGTAAAAAGACAATCCATAGAATGGAAGAGTTTTTTTTTTATAAATCATATATCTGATAAGAGATTCGTATCTACACTATATAAAGAACACTTACAACTCAATAATAAGAAGTTAAGTAACTCAATTTAAAAACAGGCAAAGGATCTAAATAGACATTTCATCAAAAAAGATGTATAAATGGCCAATAGGCACATGAAATGTGCTTAACATCATCAGCCATCCAACCTAAACCCACTGCCATCGAGTCTACTCCAACTCATAGCAACTTTGTAGGGCAGAGTAGAACTGCCCCATAGGGTTTCCAAGGAGTGGCTAGTGAATTCGAACTACTGACCTTTGGGTTAGTAGATGAGCTCTTAACCACTATGCTACCAGGGCTCCTTGTTAGCCATCAAGGAAATGCAAATCAAAATCATAATGAGATACTACTTGAAACACACGAGAATGGCTGTAGTCAAAAAGACAGATAACGAAAAGACAGACAAGGATGTGCAGAAATTGGAACCCTCATGCATTGCTGGGGGGAATGTAAAATGGTACAGTCACTGTGGAAAACAGTTTGGCGGTTCCAAAAAGCTCAACAAAATTACCACATGACCTAGGCATTCCTCTCCTAAGTATATATCCAAAAGAATTAAAACACACATGCACATTAAAAACTTGTCCACAATGTCCATAGCAGCATTAGCCAAACAGCCAAAAGGTAGAAACAACACAAATGTCCATCTTAGGGTGAACAGGTAAATAAAAGGGGTATATCCATACAACAGAATATTATTCAGCCATTAAAAAAGAATGAAGTACTGATACATGCTACAACATCAACGAACCTTGAAAAGGTGCTAAGTGAGTCACAAAAGACCACATATTATATGAATCCATTCATGTGAAATGTTCAAAATAAGCAAATCTATACAGACAGAAAGCAGAGTAGTGCTGTCTAGGGCTGGGAGGGATGGGGATATTGTGGGTGACAGTTAAGAGCTGCGGAGGTTTTATGGGGGTGATGAAAATGTTCTAAAATTGATTGTGGTGATCGTTGTTGCTGTTAGGTGCCGTCAAGTTGATTCTGACTCGTACAACTCTGTGAATAGCTACTGAATTCTATCATTGTCCATGTTTGAGTATTTTTATGCAAGCGGAGAAGGGAGGTTAAGGAGAGCTTCTCTAACTTCACAATTCTAGAGCTCTCTCTTCCCTTATGTTTGTACCTTCTCTTCCTCTCTTTTTCATTATACTTCAGGGCAAAACTTTAGCCGACTCACGTCCAACGGTATCCAGTAAATGGCTGGAAAAGCCTCTTGTATGCTTTCTTACTTACAGAGTAAACACCTTTCTCTTTCTGGTATGGAACAGAAAGCGGAGATTTGAAGAAGCGAACCCTTTTCCGCGCCAGTTCGAAGATCTGGGAAGCTGAAGACAAGCCCTCTGGACAACCCGCGGCGTCGACCCCGGCCCACACTTCGAACGAGAGGCCTGCGGGCCGCCTGCGGCTCGCCGCGCCTCAGTTCCTACCCCACGAGAAAGAGGCGCCGGAGGTCTCGACAGCTCCTCCGCCGGCGCTCTCGCCCGCAGGCACTTTACTCCGGACGCCGCCTGCCAACCCGGAAAGAATCCTCTGGCTTTCCTGCGGCGCGCTACCTCTCTCACTGACAGGTTAGAGTCCTCCGGCGAGAGGGAGCGTCGGTTGTTCCCATTCCCAAGAAACTGTTCCCCGCAATCCAGGCAACCTTGTTTGCGCGCGTGATAGTGCTGGTGCAAGGGGAGTTTCCTCAGGGGCAGGGGTCACCACCGGACGGCTCGCGCTGTCGCCGGGTCGTGACCTCTCTCGGCTGTTTCTTGGGCGCCTGGGGGCCCATGGTGGGCTCCGCCCCTTGTGGTGACACAGGGTTCCAAACTCCCTGGGTCGTTATCAGGCCGCTTAACGCTAACCGTGGCCTTGTGCTGCAGTCCTTGCTGAGCTTTCCGAATCAGCGACACAATTGTGAAGACTTGAGATCCTTCCGAAGAGGTGGAACGGGGCAGTTTTGTGGGTGGTCCTAAATTACCACACTCTGAGGAGGACCGTGCCCAGATGATTGTAGAAAATAATTTTCTGGTTCAGTGGTCATATATATTTTTGGACCTATCACAGTTGAGGAATAGGACACTCTCCCAACGGGCTGACTACAGAGTAATTTTTCAACGTGGGGGACGGTGCATGACTATGTACGTGTATGAGTGTTAGTCTTTGCGGGGCGAGAGGAGAGAGGGAGGGTTGCTGTGTGTAATTTGAAAATCCATGGAGATGCTGATGTCCTGATACCTATTTCTCCTCCTATCTACCCCCCCCCCAGCTGCTCCCCATTCTTACCTGAGGGTTACTGCTCTACTTCTAAGGTGGCAGGCGTATCTTAGGATAGAAGTAGCAACTCTCCGGTTACACTTCGCCCATTTAAAAATAGATCTGGTTGCGATATTCTCCTCTTGCATTGCCTTCAGGATAATACACATTTCGTCGTAGTCTGGCTTTAAGACTCCACAAGGTCTTGCTTCTGCTAGGTTTTTCAGTCTCATCCACTTTCATGGAAAACACACACACACTCACTGTGCTCCCGCTATGCCAACCTTCAGGAATTTCATCACTTTGGATGTGACAGAGTTTTATAACGGTTTATCAAAGTTTTGAAATTTATTCTGTTCAGCCGGTATTCATTGAATGCCTGCTATTAGCAAGCAGTGTTTTAGGAGCTGGGGATATAGTGAAAACAAAAACAAACCAAGTTGTTGTTGAGAATATACACAGCAGAACCTACACCAATTCAACAATTTCTGCATGTACAATTCAGTGACATTGGTTACATTCTCCAAGTTGTCTACAGGTTTATTGAGCTATAATTCACATACCATACAATTCACCCATTTAAAGTGTACAATTAAATGGTTTTTAGAACATTCACAGAGTTGTACAACCATCACTGCAATCAATCTTAGAACATTTTCGTCACCCTAAAAAGAAACGCTATACTCATTAGCAATCTCATTCCCTACCCACTCCCTACCTGTAGGTAATCACAATCTACTTTCTGTCTCTACAGATTTGCCTATTATGGACAATTCATATACATGGAATCATATAATATGTACTCTTTTGTGACAGGCTTCTTTCATTTAGCATAATGTTTTCTTGGTTCATCTATGTTGTATCATGCATCAGTACTTCAGTGCTTTTTATTGTTGGACGATATTCCATTGTATCGATATACCACCTTTATTTACCCATTCATCAACTGACCGACATTTGGGTTGTTTGGACTTTTTGGCTGTTACGACTAATGCTGCTGTTACCATTGTGTCTGCATGTATGTTTTCATTTTCTTGGATAAATACCTAGGAGTGGAGTTGCTGGATAACTCTACGTTTAACCTTTTGAGGAAATGCCAGACTGTTTTCCAAAGTGGCTCGCCATTTTGTATTCCCACCAGCAGTGTTATGAGGGTTCCAATTTCTCTACATTCTCAGCAACACTTGTTATTATCTGTCTTTTTGATTGCAGCCATCCCAGTGGGTTTAAAGTGGTATCTCATTTTTTTAAAAATAATTTACTTAATTTTGTTGTTGTTGTTGATGAGACTATACACAACAGAATATACACCAGTTCAACATTTTCTACTTGTAGAATTCAGTGACATTGATTACATTCTTCAAGTTGTGCAATCTCATTATGGTTTTGATTTGCATTTCCCTCATGGCTAATGATGTTGAGCATCTTTTCATGTGCTTATTGGCCAGTTGTATATCTTCAAGAGATGTATCTATTCAGATTTTTTAATTTCAAGAGTTCTTTATGTATTCTAGATACAAGTCCCTTATATATATATGACAGTCTTTTTTTTAGATTATGCTGTAGTTTACTTCAGACTTTTTAATGAAAGAATATGAGGTCAGTTTTAACTCTCCCTGGAGATAATGTTAAAGGTCTGTGTACATAGCCAGAGAGTGATCTGTTTCCCAACTACTCTATGTGGAAGACCAGGCCCAGGAAAAAGTGCTGTGAAGCAAGGGGAAGCTGTTTATACAATGTGCCCATTCTCTAATGAGTTTTGTCTTTTCTTTATTGATTTGTAGAAACTGTTTGTGAAGGGATATCAACCCATTGGTTGTTCGACATTTGGCAGATAGTTTCAGTCTACTGGCCTGTTAACTTTGTTTTTTTATCTTTTTTTTTTTTGTACTTCAGGTGAAGGCTTACAGAACAAATCGTTTCTCATGAAACAGAAGTACACATGTTGTTTTATGACATTGGTTAACAACCCCACAACATATCAACCCTCTAACTTCTCAACCTTTTTTTTTTT